CTCTACCCTCAACATCCAGGCCAAATGTCCATTCCCCAGCTTTGGCACCACTTTCACAGTTACCTCACCCAAACCCCACCAGACATCTCACTACACGCCACCAACGATGACCTGGTCGGCTTTTTCAACTCCGTTCCCCAGCACCGACTCATCGACGCAGTTCACTCCCTCGTCCACCACTGGCAACAACAGCAATCCACACACACACACACCTTAACGGTGGATGTCCAGGCCACCGGCAATCCTTTCCACCACTCACACATTGGCAGACACCATCAGAAACACCCCACCCAACGCACCATCCAGACTTCCGACATTACCACCATCGTGGCTTTTGCCCTCAACACATGCATTTTCCGGGCTTGCAACAATACTTACAAACAAATCCGAGGGGCGGGGATTGGATCCCAGCTCTCTCCAGCCCTATGCAACGTTGCCATCACCCTCATTGAGCACTCCTGGCATCAGATCCACAACAACCTCCTTCAACACACAGACCTCCACTTTACTTACTATCGCTATGTCGACAACCGCTTCATTGTCCACAACGAACATTTCCTTCAACACCCGGCTATCCAAACCCTCATCCACCACAATTTCTTTGGCGACCCTGTGGAACTCGAACCGGTGGAGGATTTTCATCTCCTCGGTTTCAACATCGACCTCCCACAACGCACCATCACCTACATGCAACCTTCTCAACCCTGGAAAATCCGGGATTCCACCACCGCCGGGAGCCAGCGCTTGGCTCTATCAGGCCTCCAATCACGACTCCACACCATTCGAAAATACACATTTCCACCCTCCAGCGCTGACGCTGCTGCGGCCGAACTCGTGAATCTATATGTCCAAAAGGGGCATAACTATCACGCCTGCCACCGGTTTTTGAAAAAAGCGCCGAACGCGGCGACCTGTGTGTGTCCACCCCTGGACAAAGGGTCTTCCACCACCACTCTTTCCATGCTTTTCAACTACCTTGGACAACCACCTTATATGGGCAGGGGGCGACAGGGTCACTGCATAGCTGTCGCCAACGAAGCTCTATGCAGATGACCAGGATGCAGGGACTGATCATCCCTGTGTACCTGCCACCGCAACTTTTGACCACGCTGTCTAATCTGCCTGGTTTGTTTCCATGGTTCTTCATGATACCTTCCCCGTAAACCACTTCCTCCCCAGCAGCGCTGCAGCTTGAGCCGCTTCGTCACCGCAGTCAAGGGAAACAACCTTTGTTCAAACACCTACAATTTTCTCGGATCTTTCGCCATGCTGTTCCACCACCTTCCTTCCCAGCGGAGAGATTGAGCTTTAACGGAAAACCAATGTCGAAGTGTGTGCCAGCTACATGTCCAAAGAAGTATGACTTGTGCCAGGCCTTCATGGAACACTTTACGCCAACAGTACTTTGTGCGTACATCTTTGCGAAGTTTTAACAGCAGCTTATGTGGCTTGTGCAGCAGGCTTCTGAAAAACTTGCTTGCGCAACCTTACACAACTCAGGCTTTGGCTTATTGAGCTTTGAAGTAACACAGCTCTGATTGAACATTTGCAAGGCTGTTTGTTCGGCGCATTTTTTCTCCCTGGTTGGAACCAACCACCGAACCAGCCCGACCAACTCGACCGACTAACCCACTGACCCAAACTCATTGGCATTTTCTCACATCCCTTTTTCGCCTCTGGGACATCCTGAATTTCTCCGCGGGCACCAGTCGCCTTCAATAGGTTTGACAAGCTCAGATTGCAATGCAGAGTTGGTTCATAGGCGATTAAAGAACCGGAACAGCCTTGCTTGTATTCTTAAGGATTTTAAGGTCAAAGCTACATCTATAGATTTACTTATTTAGTTAGTTAGTTGGTTAGTTAGTTAGTTAGCTAGGTAGCTAGGTAGGCAGGTAGGTAGGTAGGCAGTTAACCATATTATATACAGTACTTTCCTGTTTATTCTGATGTTTAGCTCTTACAGTTTCACTCTTGAAGCATGAAACTCCCTGACGCCACGTTTTGGGAACCATGTAACTCAGAACCGTCCAATAACCTCGGAGATTTCTGAGCTGCAACAAGCTCTAATTGGATACTGTTGGCCTCGAACAGGTTCCCACGGTTCTGAGGGCTGCAAGGGTTCTGAGGGCGAAGCTTTCTTTAAAAAGAAAGAACCAAGGGTTCTTGCCTTCTGCTCCCAGCCCCAAGTCCTGAGGCCTTGCCTTGGTGCCTTTGACTACTTCTGCTCTCTCCGACTTCCCCTCTCCCAAAAAAGATACCTCTTCGACATTCCCCAGGCAGGTTCCTTGTGTCCCTGTGCCTGCCCTGCTCTGAACTTCATATAATCTGCACGGAAGGCTTGAAGCTCGTTCAGCTCAATATCCTGTGCTGGAAAGTAAGAATGGACTGTACGTGTGTTCCTTTGGAGGAAAGGATTCAGTGGTCAAGAGACATGTCAAGAGACACCTGTGTGGAGACCTAGCAGTATCATTTCAGGACTCTGGCAACAACACTGGCTTCAAATCTAAGGGAAGCACTCTCAACTTGCCAAGAGTTGTTCAACTCAAGATGCTCACTGAGTGTAACTGCTAAACTGCCGACGGATTGGACAATTCCCAACCCGTCCTTGGGCAAGAACTGGAGTGGTGGACCCAGTGAAGCCTCAGAAACGCATCGGAACTCCACAGCTGAATCTCACAAGGTCTGTCTCTAGTGTGTCGGTTCCAAAGTAGTCTTGACATTGGCCGGAGTATTGGTTTGCAGGCCAAATTGTAATCTTTGGCCTGTTGTCTTGACACTGGAGCACCCACTAGCTTCAGAAAGTCCTTCATGCAGTGACTGTGGGCGCTGTCTTGTCCGGTGTGCTTTGGTGATATGGATAGCTTTTTTGGCTTTAGTCTTGGCAGCAAGCTGGCGTTCAGGCACAAAGAAATTCCCTTTACCACTGTCTTGTCCGGAACAAAATTTCTATGTTGGGCTCTTTTGGGTCTTTGAATACAGTATATATCATATATCTATATAGTTTGTTGGGCCATAGTCTTGACACAGTGCGTTAGCTGATCATCAATCTCAGTCGAAATCACATTTGTTTGATGAAGAACACGGTTTTTGTGAATTGAAGGTTTGGCTGCAGTCATGGTATGCTATATGCATTTTGACATGCACGCTCTCACCATGGTCTTGACATACAATCTCCGCGTATACATGCGCCAAACGGCAAGTCTTTGAAACTGACTATAAATGTACATACAGTACCGCTTGGATAGACAAAAGAAGAGGTCAAGCTAAAACAACTGGGGGTTCCTGGCTAAAGCTGTTCCAATCTCGTAAGACGGTCCCACGATCTATAGCCACTCTGGAGCTTGCAAGTCAAGCGACACACTTAACATGTTTGAAGGGTGGGTCAAAGCCCTGAAAATAGACTTCCAACCACGAATCTTTGACAAGCTACAGTAACTGCTTGGTTAGACCCTGAAGGCACCACGATGTCGACAACGTGCTTTGATTTGGTGCGGAGGAGATATCCATGGATCACATCTTGGTTTCCCGCCTCTGACAGCCAGGGCTGGGAAGCACCACTCAGGTCCTCCTGGGGAGCGGATTCGTCTACTCTCAAGACGTGTGTGTCACTCTTCGATGTTTCAATACAAATGTGTTAATGTGCACACAAGAAAACAGGCAACACCTCTGACATACGATTTCAGTTGCGCTGTAGAGGACCTGACTTCTTTGGCAAGTCCCGCCTGATCTTCTTCCTCATCGTCTACGTGAAGAAATGTATTCTTCGTGGAAACAGAGTACACAAACTCATTCCGAGCCCGCCTCGGTTGATCATGCGTGACTGCTGGGAAGGCTGTATATCTGTAAGCCGATGACAGATCCCGATTCAGTCAAGAGCAATTTTTGAGATTTTAAGAGCTGGGTCCCCAAGCGGGTCATTGGGCTGCTCCTGCCTGCCAAAAAGTTGAGATTCCACAAAAGCGCAGTTAGGCCCAAGGTCGTTGGAATCACAGGTTCAAATCATTACTGTGCGTTTGGGCAGGGAGTATATATGGAAAATACACCCCAAAAAATGATCTTTTGCCAGGGCCCGTTGGTTTGAGACACACCCGCACAACGATGCCAAGATCAAATCCATTGCCAAAACTTCCTGATGGCCTGGCCTTTCCATGTCCGCCCCATGCATGGGCGCCTGAGACTTGTGGTCAGAGTGAAAGAAGGAAAAAAGAGATGATGAAAGAAGATATATAACAGTAACCGTCAGCTGTTATATTACTGATTCAAGAAAGGGATGTTCCCGGATGGATCCAATCCCTGGTATACATGGTACACCAACTTTGACCCACACGAGGGGCGTTTCAGTTCTTACAGTCGAAACGAATGGGCTTCCATCCACACCTTGGGTATGGTCACCATGACTGGATTCGAGGGGAGTTACCTCCCTTCCATTTTGGATGCAAAACATTTCCTTCGCGGGAGCCCCTAGTAGCTTCTTGTTACTAGTAGTACGGCCAGGAGCCCCTAGTAGCGTCCTTGCTCCTAGTAGCGATGCCCGGAGCCCCTAGTAGCGAACCTTGTTCCTAGTAGCGATGCCAGGAGCCCTAGAGTGAAATCATCAGGACCGCATTCTCAGTGCCAGGCTGGCCCGGCCGGACCAGGCATGTTCACGCCTATGTCCTGCAGGTACAAGCGAACGCATTCCACAGCAAGCTGCATTGGTACCGATGCATTAATCTAAATTAAGTAATGTATATACATTTTTACACACCAATGCATTGCATTTAATGCATTGCAATCCGAATTACGAGCCACGTTACGATGGTCAAGCTCCTATTGTTTGCTGTCCTGTTGCGGCCGATATCCTGCAGCGAACATGCCTTCAGGCGCTGATGGGAAGCCACTTACTGAGACTGCACTTGAACAACAGCTACTGAGTGATTCCAAATCCAGTGCGATCACCTAAGAGAAGGCAACGCGATCAGAAAATCAAAGAAACACCAGCCATCGACAGCATCACTTTTCCTCGGCACTTCACGCAGATAGGATGAGAAAAGCTTCTCCGAAAGGCTCCGAAGTGGTTGTGGCAATAATCTTCCAGGACGGCCTCGGTGGAAATAACCTCCTCGACTTGGTCAAGCTCTCCAACTGCATTGCCACCTTGGATGACGGGCAACTTTATGCCACTTTGAGAGATATTCATCTTGGCGACTAGCTTTGCTGAGCCTTGCCCCGCCAAACGCGCGGACCAGGTTTGGCATTGAAAGATTGCGAGGCATGATTGGAAGCTCTGTGAAAGAGCTCCATCAGGCATTGATAAGCAAGGAAACTCTGCCTCCAGCTCCCCACGATCGTGATTCGTCCAAAGCCATCTCGGCGGCTGGCATCTACCTCAATTCGAGCAGTGGATGCCTCTGCAACAGGGGCTTTCCAAGAGGAACGTAACACTCTCAAAGGCACCTCCAGCGATGTTGTCACGACCGCTGAGAGCTCTACAATCTCAGAGTCTGATTCTGAATCTTGGTGCAAAGGTCTCTTGCCTTTGCCCTTCCCTTTTCCCTTGATGCTGGAGCCTGATCCATTTGAGCTGTTCTCGGATGCACGTGACCGCAATCCTCCAGCCCACTCAGAGCTTGAGATGCTGCAGGAGATCTCTCGTCGCAGGCCCATCTCCACCTTTTCAACCTTTGCCACCTTCTCAACCTTCTCCGCCTTCTCTGCCTCCCACCGCCGTCGCCGGCTCAAATTGGGCGCTGACTCATGCCTCTGAAGAGTCGGACTTTTAGGCGACTCACGGCGGGACTTGGGAGGAGGGTAGAAGGATCGCTTGGTTTCGGTCATCACATCAACCCACAGACGTTACAGGATTCCGCATGGCTGGACAAAAACAAATGCATGGTGCAAAACAGTTGTGCATGTGATGAAGTAAAGTTGAAAGGCCCTCGTCATAGTCTTCCTGTCTTCCAATAAGGCCCTAGTCATAGTATTCTTTTCTTCCAATGCTACTAAGTCAAGCCGAGGCCAAAAACTTGCAGCAAAATCTATATATAAGTAAGGTTTTGTGGATGAAAATCCAAGCGACATGTCTCTCCCACTAAGTTTGCAAGCTTCCATTTTGAGTCAGTTTACAAGATTTGGAATCAATTCGATATCATAGCGCAGTGCGCCTGGCTGTGGCCAACCAGGCAGAGCCTTAGGATCGGTGTGAATGAGAGTGAGGAAGTTGATTGAAGGTGCCTTACTGATCGAGAGGACGATGAGAGAAATTGGCTACTAGAAACAAGGGCATCGCTACTAGTAACAAAGGGCATCACTACTAGGAGCAAGGACGCTACTAGTAGCTCCTGGCATTACTACTAGGAGCAAGAAGCTACTAGTACTAGTACTGTAACAAAAAGAGCTTGATCGACCTGACCACAGGCTCTTCATGGCTCTTCAATCACGAACACTCCAGTCACTCCAGGCATCCACACACCTGTCATCTCCGGCCTCAATGCAAAAACAAGAAAAGCTCCAAATCTGGCAAATTCAATCTCAGTCTATTAGAGAACAAACCACAAATTGAATCTCTAATATTCTCGAATTGTTTGATATCTTTTGATCCACCTACTGACTCTTAGCCGAGTTGCTGTAGAGCAGCTACTGGAGGTGTCCAACCAACCACGGGCTGCACAAATGGTATTCCTTCCAAGCAAAGGCAGCACATGGGTGGGCAGGTTTCCAACATGGAGCACAGTTCAGCTGACAAGATCGGTTGGGTTTCAGCATCAGCAAACAACACGATCTCATCGAAGGTCCAAAACAACGAAAAGTTGACAGAAGCAGCAGGAAAGATGGCAAATTCACCAAAGCCCACCTGCTGGAGCTACCATTGGTTGCATATTCATAGAACTTGTGCTCGGGGTCGGTCGTCTTGGTGCCTTCAGATTGGTAACTGAAAGATGTTCGCCTTCAGAAGCCAAAGAAGTGTTTCATTGACTTAATTGCTGAATGGCTGAATAAGGGAATAGAAAAGAAAGAAAGGGGCCCTTCAACAAGGCCCGTTGGAGGTGCCTTATCAAAGGGGTCCTTACCTTATTGTTTGCTTTTTTCACTTATTGGTTCGCGGCCTCAACAGGATCAGGATCCCAGAAGAGATCTTGGTCCTCCTGGAGATTGGCCGACAAGCACAATCCATGTGTTTATTTGTGTGCATATTTTGCCATGAACAATGCGTTGCAATCTATAGTGACACCAGACTCCGAGTGTTGTTTTGGAGTGGCCATTCCTCCAGGAGCTCATCCAACAGGCTCAGGGGCTGGTGTGCTGGGCTTCCAGTCGTGGCCAGAGCAAAGCAGCAACCTCGTGGGCTCATCTTAATTTGGAGGACCAAAAAACGTTTGTGTATTTTGAGCCATCATGGATGCAATCCATCATTGTAGGAAAATGCAAGTGGACACTCTTGGGGAGTGATTAGTGGAGCCACAGCAGTTGTGCAGTGTATTCATCCTAAGGGCCGAACTCCGCAAATCTCCAGCGCTCATATCGCCTGCATTCTCGAGGCCCAACGGCTGTGCACACAGGACGGAGAGGCTTTGCATCTCCTCAGGCCACACCAGAATGTGAACCAGAGAGAAAGATAAAGGTATTAAAATGTATTGAACTGATAAGCAGACATGACATGGCAACCCTTGGTCAAATCTAACCATGTCTGGTGTCCTAAGAAATGCGCCACAAGAAATGCCATAAGTTCCGGACCCTGGGCTTGAAGGAGTCCATGCGCCGGGCAGCCTCTGCAAATAAGGCTCGGAACATGCCTTGGCAGGCACCTCAGATCACATCAGTGCGCTGTTTTAGAGGTGTCATCCCCTTGGTCATACTATGTTGTTAACAGTATTCATCACTGCCCTTCGGATCACCTCATGTTGGCAACTCGGAGTGACTTCATGCTGGCCACAGTTTGACGGGCAGGCCGATTCTTGAGTTGGCAACTTGAAAGCGCTATGAACTAGTCTGAGTGGGTATGATTTTAGGGACTCCATAACCCAGCACCAGATCTTCAGGGCATCTAGCAAGCAGCTTCGACTTTTCTTGTGCTTTTGTATGAAAGCTTCTTTCAGTTTTTTTTCTGCCACAAGGCAAGCAGGTGTTAGAATCCATAGAATACACACCTGAATCCAAAGGAACATCTTGCCCTCTTTCAAAGAAGTGCGAGCCCCTTTCCGTTCCAACGTGGAGACAAAGGCAACAGCACGACCAACCGGCCTTCCAGCAATGCAGGAGGCTGAAGTGTCCCGAGGTCCACCGAGAAGACCCTGAGGTTCCGAAATTGTTCCACCCGGAGCTTGGAACAACCACGGGTCTCTAAAAGAGTTGAAAAACCGTATAGATTAAAAGCGTCTGTGTGTGTGTGCGGTGTGTGTGTGTGTGTGTGCGTGTGCATTGGGTGGAAGCTGACAATTGCAAATAGAGAAAACTGAGTAACATGTAACATGATGGTTGGACATTATACTAACCTCTGAAACAGACAACAATTCTTAGGTCTCCTTCTAGAATGCATTTCCGTGTTCATTTGTCGGGTCCTGATCAGGTGTAGGAGCACAGGGTTCTCCAACACTTGCAGTCGATGAAGTGCCTGGCCAAAGAATTGGAGCACTGTTTCAAGTCTGGAGTCTATGAACCTGAAGGTCCCTAGCTGTCCTAAGTGAAACCCCTTCAACAATCTTGCCGCTTCTGGAAGAAGATAGATTACCATCTGCCACGGCCATTTGTCTGCAAGGGCATTTCGTCCTGTTGATCTGTACATATTCTGCATCAAAATCCACACGGGCTTCTGCTGCTTCGTTCTTCTTAGAGCTGCTTCAGGCCGGCATAGAGCTGAAAACCGTTTCTCCATGCCAGATCCATGGATGTGCATGGTGTGCATGTTGAGAGCAGCGCAGCGTCCTTCCAATTTGATTGATCAGCAGTTGTTGCACCAGCGTTCTCACTTGTCTTTCTTCGGCTCCTCTTCTTCTATCTTTCTCTCTGTGCAAGCACCTCCAATTTCTTTCTCAGCCTTTGTGTCTACTTCGGACATCTTTTGATCTGGAAAACCTTCTGCAAAGCAGTGCACTACAAATGCCACCAGGACCACGTTCACCAGAATCACTGCAGCAAATGCACTGTACATCCACCTGGAGTTGGAATCTGACACAAAGCCTCGTAGAAGGTACTCCGTCAAGAAAAGGCCTATGACCGGCAGGAGCGCGAGAGCGGAAGAGAAGCCAGCAAACTGCTTTGCCACATCCCGATTGCTCTGGTCGCCCAAAGCTTGCAACAAAGTTGTCGTCTTTACGTTCGCTTTGTCTGCTGCGGTCGAGCTGTTTAAGGACTCCACATTTGCTGAGGCCTCCTCCGTTGCACTCTCTGGTGCGGACTCGGTCTGATTGATTGTTGGGAGCTCTGGAGAGGGGCTGTCCATGCCAACGAAAAGCAGAGTCTGGCCAACTTGACTTGGGGCAACACTATCTCCCAGCGAAGGGCATTGAACTCTGGGAGGATTTTGTTCTTGAGCACATGCTCGAGCTGCGAGTTGTGTGAAGAGGAGGTGCTTTTTGACGATTAGGATTCAAATAAGGACATGAGAAGGCTTACATCAAACAACCTCACAATCATTACCTGTGGATGCAGAGTTCTTTTCTGTGTGTGTGCCCTCAACCCTCATTGGCATTGGTGTTGCAGGACCCATGTCCAACAACCCTGCTGCTTCAGCACGTGTGAGGCCTCTCTTCCAGCTGCTGCCAACAGCACAACCTGAGTCTCTGCTATGGCAAAGCTGTCACTTTTATGTGACACTTGTAGGGATGTTCTTGACACTCCCCAGAAAAAGATCTGAGAAAAGGCTATGTATAATGGATCTTGACACAAAAGAAAAGTGACTCCAAGGTCACAGCGGATCCAGGACAACCAACCATCAGGAAGGCCCTTGGCACAAGCGGAACTGTCCAACAGGAACTTCTTAGCACATGTGGATATTACGGATAAGTGAGGATGTGTGGCTGTCCATCGTCCTCAAAGGTGCAATGCATTCGTCTCATTTTAATATATACAGTACACTGTACACATAATATAAATATATACATACATACCTCGTGGACATCAAAGTTGGGCTCCGAGCGCCGCAAGATTCACCAGCATTGTATTGGACAATTCACTGAGCCTGCTGAGTGCCTCCCCAAGATGAAGGTGTGATTTTGTCAAGCCGAAGGTGATCACCTTGACTGCTATAGCACTCTTCACTGCTGCGGCCATACCAACCCACTTGCCGGATAGCAGGCCCCAAAATCAATGCAACAACATGTGAGCCATCCACATCCGCCTGCTGCATTGCCTTAACACAAAACTCCATTGCATTCGCAACCTTCGGTGCACCTGGCGAAAAGTTTAGGCATAGAGCTGCATTGACCAACTACGGATGAAGCAAAAGGAAAGGGTGAAAGGATTATACCAACATAAACCCCAAACAGCTCAGTTGGCAAGAATTATTGTTGTCGTGAGCGGACGCAGCCCCGGTCCCTGCCTTCGAAAGCAAAGTGAAGAGTGCAAGAGCAGCAGGACAACAGAAAGACTAGAGGAGGACAACAGAAGACAAAAAGATGAGGGAAGGAAAACAACACGAACACACCAAGAGGACAAAAGAAGGACAAGCGGGCTACACCAAAAGAACAAAAGGACAACATGAGGAGAGCATGCCAAGAGGAGACCAAGAAAAGACCAAGAGGAGAAAGGGAAGAGAAGATAAGAGAAAGACAAGGCGATGAGACGATGATGGGAGGAGTAAGACCGGAGATAGGCTAGCAGCCGCGGCTAATGAAGACCCGAAGAAGGAGAACAAGAAGGCAACAGAAGAACGGAGGACAAGGAGAGGACATCGGCTTCTGGGGTTGCTTGTCTTCCTGGTGCCTCACCGCTTTGTAGCGCACGCTCGCATGTTGTCATGTGTTTACACACTGTCTGCCACGTGGCTATGCTGCGGTACTGCGGTCTTCGCGCTTGCCGGCTGGCGCTTTCCGACTACAGTAGGTGACACAGAAGGCTTGCGCGTGTGCAATTATTTCTTGATGTTCTCGCCTTTGATTGCGCTTGAGGGCGGTGCTTCGTGCGCGCTGTCATGGTGTCATGTCTGCATGCTACCATGCAGCCATCTGGACACCAGCAGAAGGACAAGAAGGGGACAACAGGAGAACAAGAAGAGGACAACAGGCGGGCAAGAAGAGGACGACAAGAGAAGAAGAGGGCAAGAGGAGAAAAAGACAGAGGACTGACAGAAAAAGGACAACAGGAGGACAAGGTCTGCAGACTGGCTGGCAGCCGCGGCCACGCTGGTGTAAAAAAGAGGGCAACACGACGACAAGAAGAGGTCAAAAAAACTGCGGCCAAGCTGCACACCAGAAGAAGGACAAGAGGACAACAGGCGGACAAGAAGAGGACAACAGAAGGACAACGCCCGGACACAGCATTCACCAGCCCGGCCAGTGACTGTGGCCAGCCTTTCTTTTGCTAAGAGAGAACCCGAACAGTATATTGCTTGGGGAGCAAGAGGAGGACAAAAAGCATTACAGAGGCTTGGCCAGCGCGGCCAGAGGACAACAGCAGGACAACTGCAAGCACCAGGAGGACAAAAGGAGGACACAGGGTTGGCCACACAATTTCAGGGGCGCGGCCAGCCAGTATGGCCAGTTCTATAATTTCCTACTAGTAAGAGAGAACCCCAACAGTATACTGTTTGGGGAAATTTTGTAGGTTCTTACCTTGGGGTCCGCTGAAAAAAGCCTTGCACAAGGAGAAACCGGGACCGATATCACAGTGATGCTTGCCCAGAGTTCAATCAAAGTCAGTGCCAGCACCATGCTGCTGCTGCTGCCTGCTTTGCTTGATTCAGCATGCTTCACCACCTGCATCAACACGAAGCTCTGCAATGATATTGCAAATCAAGGATGGTTGCATGGTTGGAGCTACAATACTTGGTTTGATGCAAAACAAAAGCGGAGTCGCCTTGGCTGCAGCCATCGAACAAATGGCAATCTCGGGCATATTGAACCTGCATTCAGAGGTACAAACACATCATGTAGGAATCTGGGATTTGTGGTTGTCATTTGTGGCAAAGCAGCAGCAGCAGTAGCAGCAGCAACAACGACAACAACCGATGGCTGGTCTAGTCTTCACCCTCCGGCCTTTCGATCTGCTTGGTGGCAGGCGGCAGCAAAGCTAGCACTGTTGTGGCCCTTGGTGGGTTTGGTGCTGATGTCTGGAACCTCCTTTTGGCCATGCACTCAGTTGTCCAACAGATTCAGAAGCGGGCTTCCAGAATTTGGTTGTCACATATTGTTCGGGTCTAAACATGTTGATTATCTTGTCAAATCTCTATCTCGAAAATTACTCATGTCAGCCCATGCATGTCTCCGACCGCTGTGTGTTCAGTATGTCCAGCAACATCTTGTGGCGCCCCACACAGAACTCTGTTTGCATCTTCTGCGTGTGAGAGCCCACCTCAGGCTCAAACGGGGCGAAGTGACTTTCAAAGGCGAGGTGGCTCAAAGACATTCACTACAGGAACTCATTCACTGGAGATCGCATGGAGATCCCTAGATTCAACATGATTACACCTCCACTGTTGGCCGATTTCATCCGACACACGACAGAACAACTTTGGCCCTTTGACCCGAACTCCGAATGCTCCGAATCCTAAGGAATCAGCAAAATGTTGGTGGTCTGCTGTGGCGTCAAGGCCTCCCGCGCAGTTTCATCAGAGTAGGACCCTAGACGAATCCAAATATCCAAGAGCAAATACAAGAGGAGTAGTTTTATGGCAATTTGGTACAACTTGTTTCCACTCTCTCAGTACAAGGAATGCCAACGATGTGTTCCAAGAAGCCCGAATTCAGTGCATATATTTTGCAACAAGAGTCTCCAAAAAAGAAGCTATCTTCAGGGTGCACTGATGATTCTGCCCATCAAATAATCAATTGGAACCTCATCTTCTGGGCCCTGGGACATGAATTGAAAGTACCTTCACCGAGATCCCAGCCAGTCGCTGGGCAGCAAGCGCTGCATTGCTAAAGAACGCCTTAGTCTGGGGTGAAACTGCAAGCAGCGATCTATTGACGACTCCGAGTCCACTCAGTAGCCAGCAGCCGGAAGAATGTCACTGGCAGCAAAACCCCAAATGATGCTGGCAATCTCCTTGCGCTTCTCAAGCATATGACGGAAGCGGAAAAAAAAGTGAACTTACACCACAAAGGATTGAAGATTGAAACGTCTCGGAAATACATACAAAATGTTCCTCTTTAAGCTGTTGTTGCACCCAGCCTGTTGCTTGAAATCCTGCAATCGAACATTTGCCCGGCGTGCGACTTCTTGGAATAACCTGGGCCGGAGCACCAAAGGACCTGCTTGCTGCACTCATTACTCCAAAAGTGGAAACAAAAGAAACCACAGGCACCTCTCATGGTGTATCTGCAGAAGTCCATAGGCCCAAGCCTCAACGACTTGACTTGCTCCGAAACAGCTTTGAAGGAACAATGCGTGCAAGAGTCAATGCAAAAAGAAAGTTGCTTCCCTGTAGAACTGGCTCTAAGCAGCTAAGGAAAGCCAGCTCGCATGTTCTAAACTCAGGGGATCTCCCACAAGTCATCCAAAATAGACTACACAAACTACATCTTCGATCGCTGAAGAACAAACTGGGCAAAATACTATCGGCAATGCAACCGTAAGTCGATCTTATCGCGAAGGGGTGCTGGGATCTCACACAATGTTGGCCAGCTCACCGCAGTTCGCCGTGTGGACCTGAACCGGACAAACCCAATGTCGAGATAGAGCCTTGGAAATCGAGTGCACACTGGCACACTGCATGTTGCTGGGCCATGGTTCCCATCCTTTTGCTAGCTTCATCAGAAGATTGCAGCATGTTTTAACTATCCTTCACGCTTCCACATCTATTGATTCAAAGCCTGAAAAACACCCTCGGCCAAATCTTTCCTCTGGAGTCCTCTTCCATCTCCCGCCTGTGAGATCAAGTGATCGCCGATTGCTTGGAAAAGGTGCTCTTCCTTGTGCCTGCACAACAGGGCCCTCAATGAAGGAGGCCACTACAGTGTCACCAGTCTTCATCTACATGGAAGGAGGGCACCAACTTGACTGCTGGAGCAGCCAAACACGGCGGCATCTTCACCAGGTGTTGCTGTGTGCCCTACGCAATACTTCGTGCAAACGCCTGTAAGCTGCAAATGACCAGGCAATGGTCACGAGACATCTCAGCGTAAAGTCCTGGTAAAGCAGGTCGGTCTACGAGCTTTGCACTTTTGATTCGAGAAGTATTCAAGTTGGTGATTCATCAGGCGTGACTGTTAACTGTATTGTATCCTCCAGCAGTCTTGGAACAGTGCCAGCTGCCGCTTTGAAAAGTGGTTGAGCGCCTCCGCAGTCCGCTGGGGTTCGATTGTATTTTAACGTCAAAAGGTGCTTCAACACGCAGATATAAGAAAAAAGCAACCCAACGATCAAGCAAACAATGCTGACGGCTCCCATATAAAATCATTTAAAGCTTTCCATACAGTGCGTTGTTCTTCCACTCCATGACTGAGATGTGATGTCTCTTTGACGTGTATTTAGCTTATATAGCTAAGTCCATTGACAAGAGTCCGAAACTGAGCGCCCCACAGCTGCACAGATCTTGATTTGCTAGGCTCATCTTCCCATATGACCTTGACACAGCATCACATCGATGGAAAGCGTTGTCCAACAATCTTAAGAGTCGGTTGCATCCCAGGGTGAAGCGGTGAAGCTAGCAAGATCATAGATTTACAATGGGGACCCCAACGAATAGCGAACCCTAACCACCAAGCTTCCGGTCTCAAAGTATCGATTTTGAGCATGGCACCACAGGATGGTGGAAAGCTCAAAGGGCTTGAAGGTGTCCACCTAACGCGAAGGTCGCTACTTTGGCAAGAAATGATGTATGATCCAACAACACAAGCTTAGACATAAAAGGTTTAAGCTTGTGTGTGTGTGTTGGGCGGGGATCTTCCGATGTCAGTTTGAATCTGTGAATGCAATCAATTGTGTTGGACTTCATCCATTCTTTGTCTACACCATGCAGCACCTGATATGAATTGATATGACATCTGTCTCGTAGGGTCCGCTGGTAAGCTCCTCTCAAACTACTCCAGTCTTCAAACGTTTCTACTTCCAGACTGTAAGTTGCATCTTCCTCTCCCATTCACCTGATCTGTTTTCTCGACTGCCCCACCTGGCCCTGAGCTGGCACGGCAATAGCCTGCAACAGGCAGCAAGGCAAAGAATTGGGTCAGGTCAGGTTGCCATTTCCTGTGGCTGCAAGAGCCAAGTTATCAACCAGCGCTTTGTTTGACCAATCATCTCCAGGTGGAACAAATGTCTAATGTCTGTCTAATGGGATTGTCCATAATCAATGCTCCTCTTCAACAAAAAGAATTACTAAGCAACAATCAGATCTGCACTGATCGCTCCCCGACAAAACACTGACGTCTTAAAGCCTTCGCCTTGACCAATCACATGTTGCGCATCTTTTGTCCGCAGCGCTACAAGCATCGCACCGCGTCGTTCGTGCAGCCAAGTGCCACAGGCGAAAACTGATCTTCAGCGCCAGTTTTGGCGCTTCTGTGCTGCACAGGCTGTGCCCAGTTTCAAACGGCGGATGGCCTCCTGGCGCCTTGTGCCATAGCCAGTGCCGTCAAAAGTCCGAATCATAGGAATACACATAATTTGTTCTAGCGTCTAGACAACTATCTCTGGCATGCACACGCACTTTCCAATAAACCTCGGCTCACAGAACAAGCATCCAAAATAGGTGGCCCTCTCTTGGCTAATGGTGAGGCTGTCTATCCACAAGTTGCACACAAAAACATCCCTCCGGTTCGGAAACTGAACGTGTACTGTAGTTGTTTGCATTTTTGAGCATGAGGAAATCACCCAACCACCAAAACCCTGCTTTAAAAACACATGCTTTATGTCCTTTGGTGTGATCAACACACGGAGCCTGAGTGTCTTCCCTACAAAACCCTGTGCTTTGCGCTGCTTTGATCTGTTTTTCCTGAATTTGGGGTCTCACTTGGTGGTTCCTTGCTTTTTCCCGAGTGCGTAGCGAAGGGTTCTCGTTTGATGGGGGTCTGGGGGTAGAGCCTTGTTCGCGACCCGCTGTTTCTACGTCCACAACCGTTCGCAACCGTTCGCGGTAGGGCGCTAAGGCGCTGCCATTGGGGGAAGCTTTTGGAGAGGGTTTCGGATGGAAACGTGACGTGTCAGATTCGTGTGAAATAGCGTGGAAACGTGTGGAAATGTAAGATGTTGAAGTGTGGAGGTTGATTTCACTGCGCAGGCGCAGCGTTTTGTGAGATCCGCAGTTTTCTGCGCAGTTCCATTGGGATTAGCGTTTGGGGAGTGGTGTTGGATGTGGCCGTGCCATTGAGATTTGCGTTTCCGGACGTCGCATCGAAGCTCGGTTTTGTTTTCGTGACAAGTCTCAGCTGAAATGGTGATTTTGGTGGATGGGAGTGTCCTCAGAACGGGTCAAAATCATGCCAAACGTGTGGTGTGGTGCAAATTTTGTTGAAGCTCACATGATATGATATTGCCACTTTTCGTCGCAGCCGTACTTTGTGCGGGGCTTTCAGGTGTGGAAGTGCGATTTTCGTGGCAGGCGCAGGGAATCGTGAAGCAAGGTGTGACAGATGTGACATTTCGTGGCAGGCGCAGTACTTTGCGCGCGTTAGACGCGTGGACGCGGAAACTTTCGTGGCAGGCGCAGGGAATCGTGAGGTTGTGAGTTGCGCTAGAGGTGACTGTCGCTGTGACATTGGGACTGGCGTGCGAGCGGGCGTTCTGGAATCGCGAAACTGCTTGGCAGGGCTGCTTGATGTGTGTGCTCTGATGGGTGTTTCCGCTTGACAGTCTCGTACGAAACGCTTGTTTCGCAGACTTTGACATGTGAGTTTTTGAGGAAGTCTCGTACGAAACGCTTGTTTTGGAGACTTGACGTGTGACTTTTGGAGGAAGTCTCGCGCGAAATGCTCGTCTTGCAGGCTCGAAGCGTGACTGGCGTGACTTTTGGAGGAAGTCGCGTACGAAACGCTCGGTCTCGTACGAAACGCTCGTTTTGCAGACTTGAAGCGTACGAAACGCTCGTTTTGCAGACTTGAAGCGTGGTTCGAAGCCTCGCCTGCGCCCTGCGGATTTGCACGGCCTTGGTGGAAAGCGCGTTTGCGTGGCACCGTGCCACTGGGGGGCACGCTTTGGTGGAAAGTGCCTTTGTGTGGCGCCATGCCGCTGAAGGGTGAGCCATGCTGGTGTAAACGAGGCGTGTCGCTGGTCAGCGGGATGATTGGTATCATGTGATATGATATATATATATATGTATTTTCTTCTAGTGCGTGGGCAGACCGTGTGGCGAAAAGGTCAAAGTTTTATTCGGAAACTAAAAGGTGATCTTTGGAAACTTTGCGGTTTTCTTCGGAAACTAATCTTCGGAAACTTTACGGCTTTCTTCGGAAACTAATCTTCGGAAACTATGCGGTTTTCTTCGGAAACTTTACGGTGTTCGGAAACTGTTAAGTGGAGACTAATCTTCGGCAACTAAAAAGTGATCTTCGGAAACTTTAAGGCTTTCTTCGGGAACTATTCTTCGGAAACTAATCTTCGGAAACTCTACGGCGTTCTTCAGAAACTGATGTTCGGAAACTACAAAGAGTCGAAGAGCAACATCAAGCCTGCTCGAAAAACTTTCTGCAGATCGCAAAACAAGCATGTATATACCGTAGCGGTCACAAGGTACGTCAATATCCCACCCACCTACCGTTTCTGAAGATCGCGAAATAGTCTCTGAAGATCGCGGAATAGTTTCTGAAAATCGCAAAATAGTTTCTGAAGATCGCAAAATAGCTTCTGAAGATCGCGAAATAGTTCCTGAAGAAACCAAAATAGTTCCTGAAGATCCCAAAATAGTTTCTGAAGAATAGTTTCTGAAGAGTAGTTGCGGAAGAGTACCAAATAGTTGCGGAAGAAAAGTTTCAGAAGAATGGAGAGTTGCGGAATAGGACTTTGTTCGTGGCGAAAATACGATTGTGATGTCGCAGCGCCACGCGGATCTGCGCGGCCTTGGTGGGAAGTGCGTTTGCGTGGCGCCGTGCCACTGGGGAGCGCGAAACATGCTGGTGTAAACGCACAGTGTCGCTGGTGAGCGGGATCATTGGTGGTAGCATGTGATATGTTTGCTTCTGGGCGGCGGACCGTGTGGCGAAATTACGTTTGTGATGTCGCAGTGCCACGCGGATTTGCGCGGCCTTGGTGGGAAGTGCGTTTGCGTGGCGTCGTGCCACTGGGGAGCGCGAAACATGCTGGTGCAAACGCGGCGTGTCACTGGTGAGCGGGATGATTGGCGGTATCATGTGATATGTTTGCTTCTAGTATGTGGCGGACCGCGTGGCGGAGTTACGTCCGTGATGTCGCAGCGCCATGAGGATTTACGCGGCCTTGGTGGAAAGTGCGTTTGCGATGCGCCGTGCCACTGGGGAGCGCGAAACATGCTGGTGTAAACGCGGCATGTCGCAGGTGAGCGACAAGAGCGTCCCACAAGAGCGTCCTAGAATGTCCTAGAAAGGTGTCCCACAAGAGTGTCCCGTAAGAGTGTCCCACAACAAGAGTGTCCCACAAGAGTGTCCCATAAGAGTGTCCCACAAGAGTTTCCTACAAGACTGCCCCAGAAGAGTGTCCCACAAGATTGTCCCGTAAGAGTGTCCCACAAGAGTTTCGTACAAGAGTGAACCACAAGAGTGTCCCACGAGAGTGTCCTACAAGAGTGTCATTTGGACATATGTTCGATCGTGTTTGCATTCGGGTTCGTGGGCTCCATCTTGTTTCCGAAACCCCGTAGAATCTTCTGCCGTCACATCAACAACTCCCTCCTCCTCCTCCTCCTCATCCTCCTCCTCATCCTCCTCCTCATCCTCATCCTCATCCTCATCCTCATCATCATCATCATCATCATCATCATAGTAATCATAGTCATAGATAGTGTCTACATAACATTGACATCTATGGCCACCGGGTCGGAAAAGTGTAAAATATTGTAAAATAATGTAAAATATATCGGTTGTAAAAATTAGCACGACTACACGTTCCGTTTCCGACCCTGTGGCAAAAACATGCACGGGGCAAAGCAAGGGTATATACTGAAGACAATACAACAAACCTAGGACTCCTAGGACCTAAACGGCCTGTTTGCAACTGCTTGGGAAGGACTGGATACAGTATGTGTCAAAGCAAGGCCGAGCAACCGCTGAGGTATGACCATGGCGCAATGAGGCTTTGGGCGTCCAGTCAAAACGGCCTTGAAAACTGAAAACTGATGTTAGCCGATATGTCTCCAGGTGTCTCGTGCAGGAGACCCACCCAAACAGTCTCATAACAAGCTTGCTGAATGTTCATGCCACGACTCACCTTGAGCTCATGATAGGCCAAGCACGTGAAATCAGCAGGCTGCGCTTGTTTGGTAGTCTCCACATTGGTGGCCACCTTCAGCAATGCACAGAAAGAGCACTTGTTGGTGGTGCTCCAGAGTTGGGACGTGCCAAACAAACTGAAAAGTCGCCAAACATCAAGAAGCACCTCTAAAGCCACAAGGATTCCCAAAACAACCCTACGGGGGGACACCTGGCGGTCTCTTGAACCAACCGAACGGATACTTCAAAGTGATCTCCAAGACTCGGTGATCACAAAGTCATCTTCGGGAATATAGGTTGTTTGCGATTGATAGCCATAGGTGTCTCCGACATGTCCATAAGCATCGGAAGTGCCCACGCTCCAAGCGAGGTTAAAAGTCCCCATTCCATAGAACTTCATGGGGAAAGGACCTGAAAGCACTTGCCCTCCCTCAAGGTATGATCCGTGAACATAAACATATGATGTGTTGCAGAGTATTTGCTTGGTACCAGCCTTGCAGCATGATACAGTACAGGCACTACAATGGCTTGAAATCGCAGTTTACATGTGGAAGTGTTTGTTTGTACTCCGATGGACTGAACATAAACGGATGCGAGTAAGTTCCACATGTCATTGTTTCGTGAAGACAGCAAACAGCATCGTGGAACAATGACATCTAGTAGCCACCCAATTAAAAGTTGGCAACCCAAACCCGGTGGTGGCAATTGTGTGGTAGTGGTAGTCATTGTCGTAGTATCATGTAGCAATGTAGTATCAGAGGCGACAGCAGCAGCAGGAGTGGCCTTCAAGCCGCCCCAAAAGTTTGCGTCATGTTCTTTCATCTTGGATTCAATCTGAATTTGTTTGCCTCTGCGTGGACTGTATCTTGAGGGCTTTCCGACCACGATCAATCTGAGCAAAGAGACCCATGTGAGGAGCGCTAAAGTTGGTAAGGAGCGCTTGGGAGGCCGAGGAAAGGATGCTCGATTTCTTCTTGTTGTAAAGCTCGTAGGTGAATCGAGCCACATCTGCGACAGAGCCTACATAGTTCCCTGCAGTCCAACCACCTAAACAGCTCACGTCCCATACGTCTTGCTTAGGCAACTGGGCGGATGGATAAAACTCCATGAAGCCGTGGACTGGCGTGTATTGGCTGCAGGGGCCCGACATCACAAACTTGGAGTTCTTAAAGACCTTCTGCAAAGCCTGTGAACACTGCCCATGGTTTATCAGTGCTTCAGGTCTGTCAACAAACGTGAAGTATTTCAAAAGCACTGATTGGATGACTGGCTCACCATGCAACACCATTCTTTTAGGCTCCACTCTCGCAGTTGTGCCTTCGGAACCACGGAAGCTTGGTCGTAGTTTTGCCATGCCCAGGAAGAGTCGGGCTGATGGTAATGAGTGGCCAAGACCAATCCTGCATCCACCCCAAAAGAATGTATTCCCTCCATTATATTGTTCAACATTTCTTCCTTTGAGCTTGGTCAATACAGGCCTAGAAGGATGTAGTTGGTGCTGCAATACATCTGCTGCTGCCCTGGGACCGATTGAAGAGTTGGACTTACGAACTTCCCGATGATCTCAATGGGTCCAAAAGCCTTGGAACGATTGGCAAACTGGGCGCGAGAGAAGGCCTCGCCATCGTAATCCTGGATGCCACTCGTCATGTGAAGCAGATGTTGGATTTGAACACCATGGATTGGAGAGCCAAAGTGATCCTCTAAACGAGTGCCGTTCAGAGCTATCAAAATGGGATCAATGTGCAAGGCAATCGGGTCAGTGAGGTTCACCTCATGGGCAAAGAAGCAAGAGACGCATGTGAGAAGTCGCTAAACATGCAGATTTAACACAAAGCAGCAGCAGTAGGCTCTCTATGCTGAGAAACAACAGTAAGGTTTTTACTCATACTTATCTGCGTCAGTTGGGCCTTCCCCTGCTCCACGAGCTGCAGCACAGCCGGGGCTGTGATCATCTTTGTGGTTGAGCCCCAGACCTTGGATTGAAGATGCGTGCTAAATGTGTGTGCACCCCTCCAAATGTAAAATGAAACCCTTCAAGGTCAGACATGGACAAGGCATTGGAGCACATTCACACATGCAGAGCAACTGGACAAGCCAAATCTATAATTGCTAAGAGACATAGAGGTCATCAACTTGAGCAAGCCGGGTCTTGTTTCCCATGCCCAAGCCTATGTCCAGGCGGTCAATGGTTGATGAATTAGGAAGTTCCATGTGTCCCATGCCAAGTCCTGCTTATGTTGCATGTGAATGATGATGGATTACATTCCGAGTGTTTGATGTTCCAACTTGACAGACATTTCCCACAGTGAGTCCACAACGGAATCTACAAAGCAGTGCACCAGTGAAAATGAGAAAGGCTCTCCGTTAGGAACTGGTTGTCCTGCACTCATCTCCAATGAATATTCTTCCATTGAGCCCTAGTTGTGTTGTGCCTGCATCTGTGTAGCCGGAGGCCACTGTGAAGTTCAGCTTGGGCGAGTAAAATGCCGCCGCCAAGCCCATGTCATATTTGTCCTGCAAATGTAGCAAGACACTAGGCTGGATACTGTGATAGTGCAGTACCAAAAGAAGTTGTGCACAGAAACGAACTATGTGGGGCTCCCCTACTCTGTAACACAAACAGAGAGATTGACACGACTTGAAGTTGGAGACCCAGTCCCGCATTTGGTCGGCCACACGCTCCTTGGCAAAGCCCAAGATTCGGTTGGAGATCCAAGGGTCTACGTAATGATTGGAGAGCTGACAAAATTACTGTATGACTATAACCAGTTGGTGCTTCTTTGGTGGTCAGCATGAGTCAGTATGCATTTCAGAGGGCGTAGAAAGTTTGAGTTCACCTCAAGCAAGCTGATCTTTCAACAGCAGCAATCTCGCAGCGGTTTCAAGTTTGACTTGCGAGCAACACGGAGAAAGCCACACAATGACCAGGTGAGAAACACATACCCCCTACTACAAGCAAGGGACCCCAGGGACCCATTGTAGACCCCAAAACTGGGGGTCTTTTATGGTTTCCCTAGACCTTTAGTAGTTGGGGGTATAGAAACACCTGGCGCTGACTCGTCCATCCATTACATTCTATTACAGCATGTCTTAGTCGACGGAGCGGGGGGGGCCAACAAGAAGATATCAGAAGTGTCATGTCTTCCTCTTTCCGTTTATGCAATGAAGAGATCAGAAGAGACCTACGATTGGAGACCTACGAAAGTCTTCCAGGGAACAGGCTCTTCGAGCAGCGAACAATCGCCAAGGCTCCATGGCTGCTTTCAACTCATCCTGCAGCTCTGCATTGCAAACGCTCTGCAAAGCAACGTAAGAAAAGAGCAAAGCTCTGAGAACACGAGGCATGCGCGCCATGGCCAAGAAAGCAGGCAATTATTCAGATAGGCTTGATCTCTCGTGGAACTGCTGACAAATCGCACATGCTTGACAACAGAATGATGTCTTTCCTGAAGACTTGAACTAACATTCCAGGATCCAAGTATGGCTGCAAAGAAAAAGAACTGGTGCAAAATGCTCAGCCAATTTCAGTGGCTCGCAGAACAAAGCACCTATGTTCTAAAACACAATCTGTTTGTTCCTCCTTGCTGAGTACAAACAACAAATAGTAACCATCTACTATAAAAATGCAACACGTCTGTCCGCTATCCCTGTGTCCTCATCCCTAGGCCCTATATAGTCGCCACTACCAACAGTTCGGGGCCAAGGCCCACTACCCAACAATTCTCCAGCATACATCCACTCAACTTAAGCAGAGATTCACTCGGACTGAAGGTCGTGCCCTTGAAATACATTGAAGAAATGCAAAGTGCGTGCCATTTGTATCATTTGTTATAGTGTGTATTCATATATAATATACATATAGTGCCGAGGGTGTTTGCTAACACTCTTCATGCCTGCTTGCTGTAGTCCAAAAATCAGTACCAATTCTAGCCAACGGAAGGTTGATGGTTGAGCTGCTCGACATCCCTTTCTGCGGCCTTTAGCAGCTGCTCATCAACAATGTTCAAAGTTGCCATAGCCCAGGTGATGTTGGCCAAAGCCTACGGAACATGCGGATCAGGAAGCCAGAGTTCCTTAGCCTTAGCCTTCCCTTCCGTTCCTTACCGCAGACCTCCAAAAAGTGCCGCACCTGGGAAGAAGGCTTGGTCCCGCTGGCACTGGCCTTAGAAACGAACAGCCTCAAAGTGTTGGAAGAGCCGACAAAAGAGGGTTTGTTGCACGATGTTCTTTCTGAATTGATATTTGTTGAACGAAGTTCAAACCGAAATCCTAAGTTCCAGGCCCTCGCCAACACGGTATTTGCCTGCTTGATCAAGCCCTGCACTCGGAGAATCGTCAAGGTCGAATTGTGCGTGAGACTGTCCCTTGTGGGTCAGCTTGGAAGTGGAATTGATGTTCACGAGTCAGATACAGTGGATTAGACGGAGCCCTGTATTCTTGAGAATCGACCAACAGCAACTGATATGTTGACACCTAATTTGGAGACAACTCACTTTGTTCGTCTTTATGCTCTTTGTGGCCTAAAGCGCCAATCACACTGCTGCCCGTGTTTCCTATGAGTGATAAAACCACCAGTACCAAGCACACCGATTCATCCCCGCATTGAACACAGTCTAAGTCTAGAGTCTAAAGTTGTCACTGTGTTCAATCAAATCAAGCAAGTGGGCAGCAAAACACCTCACTCGCTGGACCGACAGCTCAAGAAACCTTTAAGTTTGCCCCACAGCCAGCTGCCTCGACCACTCTTTGTGATACCATGGCAGCGTCCTGGTCATCATTGCTAGTCCACAACCGCGCTATCCGGTGAAACCTCAGCGATATAATTTGCCAAGCAAGTGAGAGAGCCTTTCATTTCATGCCAGGCAAATGTATTTGTTTCAGGACATGAAAGAGTTGAAGAACAAATTGCTTCTACTATCAACTGACTGGATTCGCTTGAGCTGATAACCTGTCTATCTGTATCTCTCATCTCTTCCTTTTCTCTCTGTGCTTGGTGTCTGGAAATCCAACAATCGCCCAAAAGGCCCCAAACGCGGTAGAGATATTGACCAGGTTCATCTGAGATGTGTAGGCCTCAAGACTCTCAAGACCAAACCCAGCTTTGGGTTCCAAAGGCATATCCCGCAAATTTGCGCTGGAGAGCAGCAATCTTCAAGATGAGGGGCGACCAACACATATTTTGTGGGTCCGACCTCCAGTTTCTTTTCCAACCTACACATACCAATCTCCTTGAAACCAATATTGTTTGTCTAAATCAAATACCTGCAAAGCCAGCAAAAGGCTCCAGGGCACGTGGGTTTCTATGCTTTGACCATGGCCACAAGCCTCGATGGTTTGGGCCAACTCCATCAGGTTGCCTGACCTCATATCACAAAAACATTGGGGCATACTGGGTGCACCAAGCAAGTGCTTGTGAAACTACATTGAAATATACTGTATATTTAAAAAAACATGAAAATTACGCGCAATCCCAACAGCCCCTGCTAGTCAAACAGGCGGCTTTGCAGTGGATGCTAAGGTGGTAACTCGGAAACGGTGATGATTTGGCTGTTGATCCAAGGAAAGGTATCACGCTTTGCCGTACCCTGGCATGAACGAGTTGTGGTGAAGCACGAAATGTCGGTGTGCCAAGCCGGCAAGCAAGCAGTCTTTTTTGACGGGTCAATAGGTAAGTAAAGTATTTCGTAAATATCGACACCAATTGTTGTTTAGATGTGGGAGTCATGTCTGGGAAATCTTCGATCTGGTAGCTTTGATCGCTTAGTCTATTGTGAAGAATGCCGCGATAAATGGAGGAGCTGATGTGGGATTCAGTCCAATAACACCACATAATATACTTCGTGTCTGTGATGAAAGAATCCTGTCGAAGCTCACATTACAGCAGCCAGGAGAATTTGGAAGACTCAAGTCTCCAACAAACATCCGGAACAGGTGCCTTACTAGTAGTAACAAGGTTCGCTGGTAGTAACAAGTGCATCGCTACTAGGAACAGGTGCCTTACTAGTAGTTACAAGAAGCTAGTAGTAACAATTACATGACTTGTCTAATATTTATACAATTATGTATGTATGATTATGTATATGTATATGTGTGTGTGTGTGTCGAGACCGGAGACCCCACGCCTGGAGTCACGAAACAAGTTAGATCTGCTCAAACACTCAAGGAAAGGAACTATTGGAACAGCTTCGTGGGATCGAGGAAAAGTCTGCTGAGAAACAGAAAGAAAGCTAAGAATTCCCTTCAATAAGGCCCTCTTTAAAGCGGGCCTTGTACAACGGACCCTTACCGGTATCACCTTCCTTTTTTTCTCTCGCAAATAGTTCAAACTGATACATACCAAGTTCAAATCTGCCTGACGCCATCGAGGCTTCGCAGCCTTCTCAGGCTTCTTTTTCGCATCTCGGAGCTGAAAGAATGGTGTCCGAAAGAAACCGTGTCCAAGATTCAGTGCGGTTGAACCATTCTCCTATGTAAGGACCTTATAAGAAACCGAACATCATCAAACGGTTGCCTCAAGTCGGTCTTGATGCGTAGCCATTTCGGACATTCTTGCAAACATGTTGATGTCTGGAGAGGAAACGGGTCTGACTGCTGAGAGCACGGCTCGGGTTCCCTCTCTCCTGCTAGGAGACAAAGAGAAAAACAATATGTATGTGCATATATATATACTGTATAGTATAATAGTATAATATGATGATATATACATACGTAGTTGCAACTCCTCACCAAAGAATGCTTCTCTCTTCTTGTCGCATCCTGTTGCATGCTTGTTTTTCAGCAAGGCAAGCTCATGGTTGCAAACCCACAACCCTGTCCCCCATGGTGGAGAGGAGCTCCCGTCCTGGAGTGTCAGCTTTCGAGTCTGGAATCCGGAACATGCAAAATCTATACGGTTCTGGAGGTTGCCTTCGGATGGTTATGTTTGGCCCGTCCCCGTCCACGCTTGAGATTCGAAACCTAAGGATCTATAAAAAGGCGTATTTGTTACTACTAGTAATGCACTTGTTACTAGTAGCTTCTTTATATACTATATGCATTGTCTCCAAATCAATCCTCGCAACAGACTTCACAAAAGCCTGGTGTGTTCTTCAAGCCGTTCAAAGAACCAAGGTCGACCGAGCCGTGATGGGAGAGAAACGGGTCAGAAACACCATGGAGACTGACGACTTGAAGTGGCACCGGCAGGCAGTGAGACCAATCATATGAGGAAACCAAGCGGTCAGAGGAAAAAAGAAGCAGAACTGCAAGTGCCTTAAGTTTTGTTCTAAACATTTTGATGCAGGGCAACCACAGGCGGTTCTCGCGCCTGTGATAGGTGCCGATGTCAAGTGTGCATTCGCTAGCACCACGTCTAAAAATCACGCGGAACTGAGTGAAGTGATGTGAACTGTCAATCCTGGACGATGTCAACTTTCCAGGGAGAGGTAAGGTGGGTGCCAAAATCGAGCTGCTGATGTTAAGCTTCTTAAAGGTCTTAAATAGGTGTCCTGTCGGAGTCTCTGGAAGTATATGATTTGTCCTGTTTCGTCCAAGGTGTCCATCTCCCTCTCTCTGTCTTCACCTATGTGGAAATCCTCTATGTTTGGTCTTGATATGTCTTGAGATGGATGCGGTGAGCTTGAGCAAAGACACAAACGAAAGGCTCCTGAAGCAGCCCTGCATACAGTATACAGGTGCTCGAGCTCGGTTCTTGCAACACTGGGTTGAGGACTCTAGTCCTTTTGTCTGCAAAAAACTCTTTTGCGTACACGGCACTACCTTGGCCTTGGGCCCAATGCATGTTGACATATTGTGTTGCAGTCGCAACAGTCATAAGTGTCTCAGCTCAACACAGAGCAATTCTGCACTCCTTTTGTACAGAATATCAATCGCTTCTCCCTTTACCCGAATGACGTTGGTTGTCCTCCAGTCCAGCCAGCCCACTATTAATACAAAATGCTGAAGTCTTCAACTGTGGAATGCTGCGACACCAACTGTGGTCCTGCCCAGCTGGTCAGAGGTACACTTGGTGTACCCTGAATTCAGCTCTTCACATTTGCACACCTTTGGGCTGGGTCCACGCTTCTAGCCAGAAGCCAGCAGGTGGATCTAGACCAAAGAAAATAAGAATGGGGATGCTGAGACTGGCAATGCTGTTGCCAACCCTGATGAGGTAGACAACTTAAAAATCTAGCCACCCATCTTAAAAATGTCTGTCGTCCCCATCTGCCATCCCTGCCATCCCTGGCGGGCTGCTGATTATCCGGCGCATGCTCGGTCACTGCTTCACACTACTGAGAACTTCCTGCATCAGCATCAAACAAAATCCAGCAGTGAAAGGTCTGCTTGTATCCTTGTATCCAAAAAAGTCTTCTGACCTCAAACCTTCTCATTACAAACCGGCCATGTTTGAAACCCAAGCCACAAACAGCTGGCGAAAGACACCTGCATGTCCCCTCTGCTACTACTGCAGCAGTCTTGCATGCCTGCTTCTCACATACTGCGAAAATGTGTAGATCTGCAGCAACAACATGCAAACACTATGTATGTATCCAGTAGACGTAGATGCGAAGACACAAAAATAGTAATAAATATATCTACATTGCACAAGAGCATCACATGGACCGATCTTGATTTGAGTTGACTGCGACTGCAGGACCACATGTGAAACATTTACACGAATAAGGATGGGCAACAAAATTAAAAATATGTTGATAAAATAGGTTCCTGCCAACGGGCATCATTGGGCATCTGATCGCACTGCCACTTAGATCCAGAGAATGCGTTCCCAGTTCCCAAGGCACCGCAATGAGCTCGACGTTCTTGCTGCTGTTTCGGACCAGGTCATCCAATCTGCCCAGCCGAGCCTCCGTACAGAGGCAAACGCGAGCGATGTGTCCATATTTTTTTGTGAGGTTGCCGTTTTGGAGGCTCTCTGTCCTCATGTCTCCGGTTCCTTTTTAAGGTTGGGAGGTAGAGCAAAAAAGAATTCTAGTGGTCGTAGCTAGGAAGCTGCTAGACAGGGACGCTGAAGAGCTCAGGTTTCTTCGCAGGATTGAATTGGTTCCTGGATTTGGGGGAAACTAAACATTGGCTGTCCTCGACTTCTGTCTGCAAAGTCTTGATGTCTTCCTGGCCAAACAAACATGTCGTGGCGCTCCAAGAGACCCTCCCAAGGGCGGAGCTGGGTCAAAAAGAAAAGCTTTTAATATCCTGAAACAAAACCAGTGACATGTTTAAATTATCTGTCTTTGGGCACGCTCTTACTTAAGTAGGTGCCTACTTAATTTAGTAAGGGTGAGGGCAACTGGCACCTACTACCTACTGGACGCAGGATAGCTTACGCACTATTCATTTGGTTCCACAATGTCAAGATCAACGAGATCTACAATGCCTTCTAAAATACAATAAACAACACCTTGGGTTGGTTTTTAGGTTCTCAGACAAAGAAATTCATTGAGTAGACAGGTGAACATGAATCTCCAGCCTGAAGCTGAAGCTCTCCGGTGGATTCCCTCAGCCGGTCAAAGTTGCAAGACGGAAAGTCGCAGAGAAGGCGTGGAAAGACCTGCAAAAAAGAGGGAAAAGGGGGAATGTGAAAAAAAAAATATCATTCTCTTGTTCCCTAAAGAATGTGGCCTTCTTACGGTATAAAGGACCGGGATCTAGATCGATGGGTCGCACTTTTCAGTCCACTGATTCTGTGCCAGGCTCACACAAAAGTACCGTTCGCCACACTCGACGTCTGTAGGTTCGTTTGCTAAGTTCTATGTTCACTATATGTACAAAATATCATGTTTAATGCTGTCTTGGACTTTCCGGGTTTCCACACACAGTGGTGACCCTGGCAGCGCGATCATGTTTGGTCCAAAAAGGAAGACCAACCTTCACCCCATTCAATCCTGAACCACGGCAGGATCAACCACACTCAGCTGACATAACTCTTCCAGAATGAGTTTCTCTACATCAGACTAATGGCTGCTGCAGGCGTAGATCTCGCACGACCCCAAAACAAGAAAGGATGGCCGGTCGTGCACACTGGGTTTGCCTCATCACTAACTCTGATGGCACAATTCAGCCACTAGTACACTTCAAGCATACAATAATACGATCGGCAACTTCACAAGACTCACAAAAGTCTTTGTATATACTCGCTACTTAAGGAAGGGAATGAGACAGGAGAGTCCTTCTCCGGCAAAATAAAAGTTACATTGTTTGCGAATACAGAACAGTAAAGCTCTGAGTTTTTGACTGGCATTGTCTTTGATTCGTCTCAAGAGTTTCTCGGCCTTCTCTGCCTCAAGAAGTATCAACTCTTGAGTTGTGTTGAACACTTGTTGGCCCACATCCACGCTAATCATAGCTGCAAATATCCACAAAGGCATCACTCACTTTTGAAAGTTCTTGAGTGCGTCGGCACAGGGGGCCGCTAAATCTGTGGTCCCAGTTGACCCAGTTGAACAGGGTGTCCCAGTTGACCCAGTTGACCGACCCCACTTGGCCCCGTTGACCCAGTTCACTCCAACTCGGTCAAATGGGTCCAGTGGGTTCGGAGATTTAGCGTGGCCCCCTGGTCAACTGGGTCCACCACCACCACCACCACGACGACGACGACGACTACGACGACTACGACTACGACTACGACTACAGCCACTACGACGACTACGACTACGACTACGACTAAAACGACGATAGTACTACTACGACACGACTACGACTACGACTACTACTACTACTACCACCACGACGGCGACTACTACTACCGCTACCACTACCACCACGACTACGACTACGACTACGACTACAACTACGACTAGGACTACTACTACTACTATAACTACTACTGCTACTACTACTACTACTACTACTCCTGCTGCTGCTGCTACTACTACTACCACTACCACTACCACTACCACTACCACCCACTACTACTGAACTACTACCACTACTACTGCACTACTACTACTACCACCACGACGACGACTACTATACTACTACCACCAGGACGACGACTACTACTACCACTACCACTACCACCACCACTACGACTACGACTAGGACTAGGACTACGACTAGGACTACGACTAGGACTACGACTAGGACTACGACTACTACTACTACTACTACTCCTACTCCTACTACTGCTACTGCTACTGCTACTGCTACTGCTACCACTACTACCACCACCACTACCACTACACTACGATTACCACCCACTGCTACTGAACTACTACCACTACTACTGCACTACTACTACTACTACTACCACTACTACTACTACTACTACTACCACCACCACCACCACTACGACTACGACTACGACTACGACTACTACTACTACTACTTCTACTACTACCACTACCACTACCACTACCACTACCACTACCACCACCCTACCACTACTACTACCACTGGAAAGTTCCAGTTGTTTTTTTCAAAAGGGGATTGAGCAATTTGGCGAGAAGTACCTTTGCGGAGGCACTTAGCACAAAACCAAGTTTTATGGAAACAAGGAAACAGGAGGGATTGGGCGCAATGGCGCAAGTCATGTTCATGTTTAGTTTGTAACTGCTCTTTCCTTTTGAAAGCCCCATAAACACTCAACTCAGGTAAGGTCTTGAAGCACCGGTACTTGCGCGCGGCTTTGCCGTCAATGGCGCCCGTTCAAACACGCACACCATCAGCCCGCCGTTTGATTTTTCCGCGGCGCGGCAACCAGGCTTCTGTTTCATCGACAAAAGTGACTTCATCTCCCAGCGCCCCATCGCATGAAGCCAGAGCCGGAAGCACCGAGTTTGCAGGACGCCGTTTCCCCATGATTCGACGACGCGGTCCTGACGCCCGGTCCTGGGGCCAGGCAGAGGAGGACTGAAGACCAACCGAAGCACGTTCCCGAAAGGACCTTGGGGGGGACCAAAGAAAATTCACCCGAAGCGGAGGGGAAAAACAATTGCTCAGAAACCTCAGGCAAGGTCAGTTGGTTGCTTGAAACGGCTGTCTGGAGAGGCTAAGAAACCTAAAAAAAATATAAATACCACCAAAAAAGGTGCAAAACAAAAACAACCCTGAAATGCAACTTTTTTGCATGGTTCTACGTCCCAACTGGCCCCGGTTCCCAAACATCATACTCAAATGGGGACCACAATGCAAATAGCACCCACAGCCAATTGAACGTTGAATCATGTTGTCCTTTTTATGCGCTGTCAAGAAGCAGCTTCGCGAATTTCCAGTCTTTTTGCGTCTTGGCAAAATAAGAGCAAAGGCAGTCGGGCCGCAAAATCAGCAAGCACCCTCGTCGACGCGTCAGTAAGAAGAAAAATTGCAAAATGTTTGGTTGTTGTATTGTTTTCGCGGGTCGTATTTTTTGTCGTTTGTGTACATGTTTTTTTGCGGGTCGTAATTTTGTTACTTTTTGGCGGGTCGTATTTTGTATTGCGTGTATGGTTTGTATGTTTCTATGTTCTATATTTCATTTCTTTTTAGTATGTTGGAGGTTTTCGGGTTCTTTTTGCTTTTTTTGTATTTTTGAAAAGTACACCCAAAAAATAATCATACTTTTGCGTTTAGAAATGCAATTTTGTTTTCGTATTTTTTGTATTAAAGGGGTCGTATTCTTTCGTATATTTAAAAAATACAAATCTTCAGCCTCGAACTGCGAACCGGCAAAACCCACCGGCAAATTTTTGACAACCAGCGAAACGTGGTCAGGCTACCCGACAACCACAAGAGACTGCTCCAAAAGACAAGGGGGCCAGCTTCCCATCCCACCCATATCAATGCATATCAAGTGGCAAAGGTACGTGAATATTGCTTGCAGTCTTGCATGTTTTAAGGGATGTATTTCTGAAAATACAAAAGCCAAAAGGCAATTTAAAATATTTTAAAAAATACAACTGGTGAATTGTATTTCCCAGTCGTACTTCTTCTATTTCAACTCTTTTATGGCTTATAGGCTGTACCTGGAACCGGGGAACCAAGTTTAGCCGTTGTGGGAGTCCCAGTCGTTTGGGTCCAAGAAGGGAGGACTTCGGCGTCTTTAGAGTCGTGCAACAGGGCTCTTTAGTGACCTTCCTTGAGGACAATGCACAAAGCGCCCTGAGATGGTGGTTTGCGTCTTCACAGCTGAAAATCGGAAACGATGCCAGATGTGTTCATCAGTATTCCAAAACCAAACAATGACGCCGATACCAAGTTGCTCTGCCAAAGCAGTCAACATGTATTCATCAATCCAATACTGTCGCGTGGCAGCCAAGTTGCAACAAGCCGTGAAATCCTTGATGCCTGTACCTTGGGCCGGAGTCTCTTGAGGATCCTGGGCCCACTTGTCAACAAAATTTTTAATGTTTTCGGATGTGAGCGACAGCAAGTGCGCGCAGTTTGGCGGCTTCGCGCAGGATTGCCTCAGCGCCGAGAGTTTTCTCTTGGATCGCAGCCAGGCCTATAAGGCGATTCTGCGAAAAGCGCAATCTCCATCAACCAGCGTCTTTGAGGGACCATCCGGAAGCGTGAGGCGATCGTCAGGGTTTCTTTCGTGACTTCTTTTCCAGATCCACGACAAGGGGATCGCTCCCCTTTGTTGGGATCAATCTTGTCCCAAGTTCGGTCAGATCGTCCTGGCTGAGTGGGAGCGACCTCAGCATCTTTGACTGGCGCAGTGTCGTGGGTTATCAACCCATCGTTTTCGTGGGCCATACAGCCATTCGGTCTTCGCCTGAGCACTTCGGGATAAGATTTCAGGGCGGTCAAATTAACCGAATGAGCGTCGACCAAATACCAAAATTCGGGGGATCCACAATTACTGTTGGGCGGACTGGCCCGAAAGACTCATTCACGAAGGGCCCCCTTTTTCCTGGGTCGACGACGAGTGAGAACGCGAGCTTGGGTCCTTTTGATCAGTTGATCCAGTTGACCCCAGTTCACCCACTTGACCTCGGTTGACCCAGTGGAAACGTAGTAGTAGCAGTAGTAGTAGCATTGGCCAAGACTTTCAGTCAAGTTGGCCGGGGTATACTGTGGTAGTAGTCGTCGTAGTAGTCATAGTAGTAGTAGTAGTAGTAGTAGTAGTAGTAGTAGTAGTAGTCATAGTATAGTCATGATAGTCGTAGTAGTAGTAGTAGTAGTAGTAGTCGTCGTCGTCGTCGTCGTCGTCGTCGTGGTCGTGGTCGTGGTCGTGGTCATGGTCGTGGTCGTGGTCGTGGTCGTAGTAGTAGTAGTAGTAGTAGTAGTAGTAGTAAGTAGTCGTCGTCGTCGTCGTCGTCGTGGTCGTGGTCGTGGTCGTGGTCGTGGTCGTGGTCGTGGTCGTGGTCGTGGTCGTGGTCGTGGTCGTGGTGGTGGTGGTGGTGGTGGTGGTGGTGGTGGTGGT